GGCGGAGGAGGAGGAGGAGGAGGAGGAGGAGGATGAGGAGGAGGAGGAGGAGGATTTATACCCTGCCCTTCATTCGGAGTCTCAGAGTGGCTTACAAACTCCTTTCCCTTCCCCTCCCCACAACAGACACCCTGTGAGGTAGGCGGGGCTGAGAGAGTTCATGGGGCTGAGAGAGCTCTTTCCAGATCTGTCCTTGAGAGAACAGCTCTGACAGAACTATGGCTTGCCCAAGGTCATCCAGCAGCTGCAAGTGGAGGAGTGGGGAATCAAACCCGGTTCTCCCAGATTAGAGTCTGCACCCTTAATCACTACACCAAACAATCTCTGAACATTTCAAGGTCTATAGGAAGCACATAGGGTAAGAATTGCTAAAGACTCATGCTTCCTCTTTTCATGTTCCAGATGGTAAAGATGACGAATTCACACCACATTCCCTGATGCTAGATACGCGAACCGCCTCTATATGCATCTGTAGTTTACACATCTTTACATGCAGTCAGGTGCCCAACATTAAAAAAGAAGCAGAGACAACAGGGAAGTTGCAGTTTCTGTCCTTCCCTCATTGTCCTATATTTTTAGCGCCTTAAGTTCCTCTCTGGTTTCAGGTTCCTAAAAATAATTGATTCTCTTTACTGCTTCGATCTCTTTCATGCCTTTACCACTGTATCTAATGTCAAACCCCAATTTTCAGAAACAAGGTAGGTAAGCTGGGTGGGGTGGAAGAAAAGTAATCAGGAAAGGGAAGAGGTTATGGGGCTGCTAGGGGAGAGAAAGAGGAAGCAGTGTGAGGAGGAGTGGGATATGGGGACGGACGGACACAGGTCCCATACTTGGGTATTCCTATTGTAAAAACTGCTATAATAGCAGATTCAAGTCAATTGCTAGGACCTTAATATATTGTAAGTTGGTTTTAATGAACTGTCTAATTGAATTGTTTGAAGGATGTTTTTAGATGTATGTTTATTGCTTTTATTATATGAGCCGCCCTGAACCTGCCATGGCAGGGTGGGGAAACAAATTTAAATAAATAAATGATTGGGAATGTACAGTTTTGACACTGGAGAGAGCCAAGACTCAAGCAGTAAATCCTACTGTACCGGATAATTTAACTTTTGTGTAGTAGGAAACATTTGCTCTCATCTCACCTACAAAACAGTGTAGCATTTTAATAGCCATGCCTAAATTACAGCTCTAAAAATGGTAGAAATACGAAGAGGAAATTACTTTTCTTTCTGAAGCTTTCTCACGATACAAGATCAGTGCATCCGTAAATTTCTGAGTAATCTTCAGTATAAATGCCGCATCATCTTCATCCACTATTTCAAAGCTTTTCTGGAAAGAGGGGCAAAGATTTTAATAACAGATAAAACCAAAAAAAGAAATCCAGCTTTTCATTGGCATGTTGGGAGTTCAGAAAGGTAAATGTTCAGAAGGTATTTAAGCAGGCAAAATACTCAGACTAGCGCAGTGACATAAAAACAGACTAAGCTAGCCTGACCGTTAAGTACACCAATTTAAATAGTTCTTGATCAAAGGCATGAGCATCCTGGCGTTGCAAATCTCTGCTGGCATATTTGTTTACAACCGTGTTTGCAATGTTGGACTAGCTCACCCACAGGCATACCCAGGGCCAGCTCGCTCACTAGGCGAGCTAGTCTCTCGCCTAGAGCGCGGCTATCATGGGGGCAACAGACTGAGGACCAGCAGCTTTGCGGGCTCTGTTGGGCAGTCCAGTTTAAACCAGGCCGCCCAGCAGAGCCCCAGCTGAGCCTGCGAGGAGAGTTCTCGCCACAGGATTGGATCCTTTGCAAGCTCTTTTGTGCAGTCTGGTTTACAAAGACCGCCAAAAAGAGCCCCAGCTGAGCCGCCTCTCAGTTGTTTTTTTGTGGCTTTGTTGCTGCTTTTCCCCCGTCTGTATTATTCGGTTCAGGTCTATTGGACCCGAAAACATTCAGGATTTCCGAAAAATTCCAGATGGGAAAACTTTACCGGTATCAGGATTCCATTTTTTTTTCAGGAATCCCAAAGGTTTTTGGGTCCAATAGACCCAAATCGAAAAATGAGGGGAAAAAAATTTGCACACTGCTACTGTGAATCACTTTCTCTCTTAGGAGTGAAAGGCTGTTTCAGACGCACTCAAAATGTGTGTGTAATGATTTCATGTTTAACTGTGTGTGTGTGTCTTTAAAAGTTTGGTTGTAGGACTGTGTGATAGGCTAGTGTGATTGGTGAGTGAAAGAAAGGGGGAGGGGTTTTGGAAGTGATGCTGTGTGGATGATATTTATGTCTGTCAAGAGTGACAGAGTGGGGACAGTTGAAAAAGACAGTTGGGGAGTCAGTTAAGTTCTGTCTCTGAGAGAAGGAGACACATCCCTGTGTGGGATAATTTGGTTCTGTGTAGTAAAAGAGTTCAGCAGTTTGTTCGTTTTAAGGTCTGAGAGAGAGAAGTCTTGTGTGTGTTATGAAAAGTTGAAGTATAAAGAAACAGTAACCGTATATGGCCTAAAGGGAAAAAAGTGTTACAAAGTTACATGCCCAGATCCCTGACAGTGGGAGAGAAAAGTGTGTGAAATATCAATAAATCTACTTTTAAGATACCAGTTCTGAAAGAAATTCTTCCCAGGAAACACATAGACCCTCGTGAACGCCTAAACCCTCGACTTACCTACCCAGTGATAGATATATTGTATTATAAAGGTTTGGAAAGCCTTAAATTTCCTGGTGGCAGCCGGAATACCCAGTAAAATAAAATAAAAGGAACACTTTTAAAGTAAAACCAGACCTCCCCAATTAAGGGGGTGTCACAGTGTGCTATGAAGATTTTTATATAGGATAATTCATTAGGTATTCCTATGCATACTATAGACATAGATAATGTTGTCATGGACAAATTTCTGCTTAAATGTGACTCATTTTGTCCATAAGAATAGCCAAAAGGAAATACTACTTTATACAGAGAGTGATTTAAATGTGGAATGTAGTGCCAGAGGATGTAATGATGGCCACAGGAATAAACAGCTCTAAAATGAGATTAGATAGAGTCATGGAGGTCTATCAGTGGCTACTGGCCATAGTTACTGAGGGGAACCTCCACGTTCAGAGGCACTAAGCCTCTGAATCCCAGAGCCAGGAGGCAACACCAGGGGAAGGTCTTGGCCTCTATGCCCTGCTTGTTGGCCCTCCAGAGGAAGTGGTTGGCCTCTGTGTGAGACAGGATGCTGGACTAGATGGACTATTGCTCTGATCCAGCAGGGCTGTTCTTATGTTCTTATAATATTTTATTTTGGTTTTAACTGAAAATGTTTTAAGGATTATTGTAAGCCACCTTGAACCACGAGGAAAGGGAGTACGAAAATGAATGAATATGCTGTAACATGTCAGATTATAACACTATTTAAGAGTGCAATGGTTTCAGTATTAATAAGTTTAATTTTATACGCAAATACATCAGTAGTTGTATAGTGACTGTATGAGATGGTTTCTGTCCAAATATCACACCGGCTTTTCTCTACTACAGACTTTGTATTTTCAACTTTTACAACAGATGGCAAAAACTACAGTACATACGCTAAGGGAGCACAGGGTGAAGCAGTTTGCAACTCTGTCTGGAAGTACTGGGTGTATTCCCAGAGTTTTGCTTGCAGAAAATTAAGAAATGTATATTTTAAAATCCATATCTATGCCAAACAGTTAGATTTTATACTTTACTAAGTTATAGATGATGCAACTGTTTTATGGTGATTTTACCAGATTTTAATTGTTATTTATATACTATGTACAATGTTTTAACGAATGTAAGCTGCCCTGAGCCAGCGTTGGGGGGAGGGTGGGGTATAATAAATATATATACTTTTAATTATGTTGCTGAAGCAGTGAAGTAAGTTTAGTATAATAAAAATGTAATTGCTGTATGTACTTCAATTGTACCCAAAATTTCCACACACACACTCCAATGGAAGGAAACATTTCCCCCCATGACTTCAGAATTTTCAGAAATGTTACATATGTATGTGAACAATAATGGTAACAATGCAGGTATATTTTCTCTCATTCATGCACTGTTTCCCTTGCTTTCTCTTCCTCCTCTGTGTTGGCTCCTCCATGGCTGGAATTTGGCTTGTAAACTCGCGAGCAGACACCTCTTCTTTTTGCTTATTCTACTGTGTAAAGTACCACATACATCAGTGGTGCTGCATGAATCACTAACTCCCCCACACCCATCAGTAATAATGGTGGATTTTGACTCGTCATTTCCAATACTTGTGCTTACACAGGAATATATGAAGCTACTCTTGCACCAAGTCAGACCATTGGTCCGTACAGCCTAACACGGACTACAAGGCAGCTGTACAAGTTAAGGTATCAAGGCAGAAATCTTTCTGAGGCCTGACAATGTGCTCGGTCGTGGAGTTCTGGGCCTCTCCCTATCACTGACTTACACATGAAATATTGTATCTTTCCCAGCTAAGCCACAGCACAGCTTAAACCACCTACCAAGTATTTCAGCAGCGCTTCATTGCTAGTGAATTCTTCCGAATCTGAGTCACTTTCTACGAACAAGGCGTTTTGCACGGTACCCTATAAAACATACATCACAGATCTGGTCTGAAAGCTGCAGTATATACCCATAACAGAAAACCGTGCAAGAAGATTGCTTTCTTATATATCAAAAAATATGAACAGCCACTAACATATGAGAAATTGCTTCATTTGGAGAGTTTCAGTAATAAAAAGATTTTTTTTCATCCAGATGGATACAATACACAACCTATGGTCTGAGGGTACTCGCTATTTTAAAATCGAGTTTTAAAGGAAACAAAGCTAGGAACTGCAAAACATTCTGGTGAATAATTTACCTGATCCGACTCCTTTTTATCTTCTGATTTCTTGCTATCATCACCCCTTTATGAAATTAAAAGGAAAAAGAAACCTATGAAACAATGTGCACCTGTCTTCAAATAAAAAGAACTCAACTGTAGAAGCTGGGGAAACAACATGAATTCAGCCCAAGATGATCAGACTGCAGCTTCCTACTATTTCAACAACCCTGTAAATCCTATGCTTGATTGAAATGCTTTTGCAGAACATCTACATGGTCTTTGACTGCTTTCTCTGTCTCTTCCACTTTCAAACACCTTGTCATATTTCCCTTTCCCCCCACGAACTCTCAATCCATGACCAACAATCCCCAACCCAGTTTTGCAGCTGCAAAACCCCAAGGGGTTTACTGAGCCTCTGGTGGGTCATGTAAGCGACAAATGGGCTGTCCCATTAGGCTGTGATGTGTCTATGCATTCAGTCTGGCTTACCTTGTTACCCTTCCGCTGCCATTGCAACAGTCTCCCAATCTGGATTCTGAATGTAAAATACTTGGGTTCAGGGACCTGTTCTTCACTTGCTGCACTGTAAAGCAGGGGACCCCAACCTTTTTGAGCATGCGAGCACATCTGGGATTCTGACACGTCGTGGTGGGAGCTGGCACAAAATGGCTGCTGCAGCTTAACTTCAGTCACACAGTGAAGATCCTTGTGCTATGGTGGAAGTAGCTGCCAAAGCAATGTTTTTATAAATCTGCACAGCCAATCAGAGAGGTAGATGGATATGCCTTCTGCACTGATAAGAACACACTAACAACTGGACTTGGAGATCTCAGGAGGAGGAGGAGGAGGAGAAGAAGAGGAGGAGGAGATTGGATTTATACCCTGCCCTTCACTACTCAAAGGTGTCTCAGAGTGGCTTACAAACTCCTTTCCCTTCCCCTCTCCACAACAGACACCCTGTGAGGTAGGTGGGGCTCAGAGAGCTCTGACAGAAACTGCTCTTTTTTTTCAAGGACAGCTGTGCCAGAGCTTGTGACTGACCCAAGGTCATCCAGCCAGGTGCGAGTGGAGGAGTGGGGAATCAAACCCAGCTCTCCCAGATTAGAGTCCGTGCACTTAACCACTACACCAAACTGGCTCTCTAGAAGCCAACAATGCTTCCCTAGAAGAACCTCACTTGTGGGGGGGGGGGACCTCAAACATTCTCTGTGAACTGGAGACTCATTTTTATTTTATTGTATTCCTAGCCTGCTCTCCCTGCAAGTGGGCTCAGGGAGTGTCACAACATACAAATTACTAACAATGATCGATCAACTTTTAAAACTCTAAAAACAACCATTCTCAATCCCCTTTAATACACAAGATGGCATTCCAGAGACCTGTGGTGTCCTGTGCCTGTTTCCATCAGAGTGGATATGGAACCTGATTGGTATGAGTTCTCAGAGTGGTAAATTCGCTGCCATCGGGATCAAGGGCATCTTAAGCAGGAGGGGCCAAACTGGTTGGACATCCACCGCCTCAACCAAAAGCCTGGCAAAACAGCTTTGTTTTACAGGCCCTGCAGAACTCTAATAAGTCTCGTAGGGCCCTAATTTCTACTGGAAGCTTGTTCTATCAGGTTGGGGCCAGGGCTAAAAATGGTCTTTTGGCCAAGGATTACCCAGTAGATGTTGATCTACTGAGTGCAGGGTCTTCAGGGCACATATGGGAAGAGGCAGTTCCGCAGGTATGTTTGTCCCTGACCACGTAGTGGTTTAAAAGTTAATACCAACACCCCGAAGTGGATCTGGAATTATATCAGCAGCCAGTGAGATTGGCGTAACAGCAGCTGAATGTGTGCCCGCAGAGACGTCAGCCAGCAGGTGTGCTGCTGCATTTTGCACTAGCTGCAGCTTCCGGGTCAGGTACAAGGGTAGCCCCGCATAGATCGAGTTACAATAGTCCAACCTGGAAGTGACCACTGCGTGGATCACCGTAGCCAAGTTGCGGGAGGAAAGGTAGGGAAGCTTGTTGCTGAACCTGCCAAAGATGGGAAAAGGCCGATTTGGCAGCCGCAGTGACCTGGGCCTCCATTGATAACGAGGCATCCAGTTTCACTCCTAGGCTCCTTACTCTTGGCACTGGAGTCAATGGCACCCCACCCAGAGCTGGGAGCTGAATTCCTACATCCAATCTCCTCCGTCTTTGATGGATTTAACTTCAGCCAACACTGCTGCAACCAGCCAGCCACAACCCTCAAAGCCTTGTCCAAAACTTCTGGAGTCGAATCCGGACAGCCGTCTATTAACAGACACAGCTGAGTGTTATCAGCATAACCGCTACACCAAACTGGCTAAGTGTGCAGACTCTAATCTGGGAGAACCGGGTTTGATTTCCCACTCCTCCACTTGCAGCTGCTGGATGACCTTGGGCAAGCCATAGTTTTGTTAGAGCTGTTCTCTCAAGGACAGCTCTGGAAAGAGCTCTCTCAGCCCCACCTACCTCACAGGGTGTCTGTTGTGGGGAGGGGAAGGAAAAGGAGTTTGTAAGCTGCTCTGAGACTCTGAGTGAAGGGCGGCGTATAAATCAATCTCCTCCTCCTTGTTCTTCATATTGATGACACCCAATAACTGAAGGGGTTCTGAGCAGACATGTTCCAGCAGAAAGACTTTCTTCTTGCAGTTTCCTAAAGCTATTTCCAAACTTAACAGTAATCCAATAAACAGTAATCCAATAAACAATATTTATCTCAGCTGGGCCCTCCTGAAACAAGTGCTGTGAATGTGTAAGGTGCCACTATTTTGCTACCACAGACTAACACGGCTACCTGCCCTGGTTTTTCCAAATAAACTGTTAACTCTCTTAAAACGTACTTAGCCTCTGAGGCCTCCTCAGCCTTCTTATCTGTTTCCTTTGCCGTGGATTTAGGATCTTCTTTCTTCTTTCCTTTCCCTCCGTCTTCTAAAAAAAAAAAATTTGAACGCATTAAGTAACTCTTCAAAGGGTGGACTTGCATTGCATTGCCTTATATCAAAGCAGCAAAATTTCAACATGACAACATCCAAAGTGGGAGGAATTATTCATACCACTACAGATGGGCTCATTTACCTTCTAGTCTACTGACCTATGAAAGAGTGCTGTAAGGGGCGCCCCCCCCCAAAAAATATTTTCTTTAAGGATATAAATATGAAGCCTTCTTTTAACAAAGCCTGAAATGTTTAGACAGGCAACTCGGACTGCGGTTAACAAAGGAAAGGGCAACTATCCTTGCAGTGTCCATTCAGGCCTTGACTTCAAGCCATGAAGAGTCAGGAGGTCCAAGCAGGGGTCATTTCGTAGAAAAAGAGGTGCAGGAGCTCATTAGCATAACTCATTCGCATAACTCACTTGCATATGCCACGCCCCCTGACATCACCGGAAGTGTGTCATAAGGTAACACCCACCACTCAGGCTCCACTGGATTGTTTTGGATTGCTAGCTATTGGGGGGGGGGGCACGCAAATCTGTCCCTGCAGAGGAGGGAGAGCTTCTACCTGAATAAAACTTGGTCTTAAAGGTGCCACTGGACTGTTTTGGACCAGGGTGCCTGGGGGGGCTCTGCAACTAACCTGGCTGCTGGGAGCAGGGGGTGGGGCTTGTTGCATGTGCCTGCCCCCTGGGCTCTTTATTGCCGGAGCTCCGCTCCTGTGCGCTCCTGCAGGAAATGACCCCTGGGTCCAAGCAATTTAATTACATGTTTACATGAAACTCTTGAGGGAAAGGGGAGACTTTTTGGCCCTGGCCCCGACCTGGCGGAACTCTCTGACAAATAACACCAGGACACAGCAGGATACTCATGCAATTCCGCAGGGCCTGCAAGGCAGAGACGTTCCACCAGGCGTCCGGTTGAGGACAGCGACGCTTTACATTATGGCTGGCACCCTACCATCCTTGTGGAACCTACTCCCTCCCCGTGCCTACGAAGCACTCACAGACCAGATATGGGAGGGAACGACAAAAACGCTCACCACTGGCTTTTAATTACCGTATGACATGCTGGATGTGGTTTTATGTTTTTATGATTTTAAAATTCGTACATCGCCTAGAGCCCCACAATCGTGAGGATTCGGCGATTAATAACCGTAATGTAATAAATAAATAAATAAGTATACTGTATCAAGGAATATCGGCCTCTCATGAATGAAAGAGTATTATTATTTCCCGCTGTGGCGGCGGCTGTGGGGTGAGAGACAGAAGGGGAAAGCTCTGAGGCAACTGCCTCCTGGATTGAAGAACGTCCAGCCCCCCCACTCTGGCCTCTCCTATAGAGTCTTTAAACCCCCCTACCACCCCCAATCTAATAAAAAGGGGGACACAAGCTTCAAAATAAAGATCAGCAGCCCGTAAGCTATGTGCTTCCTAAAGGCCTCTGATTTGCAAATCTGCTAGACTAAGGCTACACTTATTTTTCCAAGATAGCCACTTTCCCCTAGATATTTAATTGGATAGACAAGACAGATGGAGATGAACAAAGGTTTATTTAACAGAAAATAAAGTATTTAACAGTGTAAGTTATGGGTGGATGACTTCACTGTATAAAGCAAAACTGGCTCTCAAGCAGAGTAAATAAACCCTGAAGGGAGATTTGATTCCCCTTTCACTGGACAAGTTACCTCAGAAGGTTCCCACATAGATAGGGTTGTCATTCTCCAGCTGGAGATCTGCTGGGATTACAAATGGTCTCCAGGTGACAGATCAGTTCACCTGGAGAAAACGGCTGCTTTGGAAGGTGGGTTCTATGGCTTTATACTCAACTGAAGTCCCTCCCCTCCCCCAAACTCCACCCTCCTCAGGCTCCACCCCCAAAACCTCCAGGTAATATAGACCTGGCAACTCTACCCACAGAGCACCTTTCCTCAGAACCTATAACCACAATTTAGGAATGATGGACCCTTAGCAGAATGCTTATTTGACACACTAAAACAAGCTTCCTTCCCTAAACCGACCCCAAACCCTAACTAAAATGCCGAATAAGACTCTGGCTAAGTTGATGCCCCTTTCCAGAGCCACAAAATCCCCATTCAAAAGAAAAAGGGTTTTCTTCACCCTTCTTGAGTTGAGGCTGGCACACCCTCTCCCATCCAGTGGAGTTCCCTGGGCTCTGATCGGCAAAAAAATCATTAGGACTTGCACGAGGCCTGTTATCACAAGGATTGGTTCAGAGCCCTGGAGGAGAGGAGGGACTTTTAAGGATGACTGCCACATATACCCCCAAAATACGGAGGAAGTGGGACTCGAGACTGTTTCATCTATAGTACAATAGGGCCCATCGAGAATATTCCACTGCAACAAGTTCACATTTATAAATTCCAAGTACTCACTGTAACTCAAGCACCTCTGCTTGCTTTAAGTTTTATCTTTGAATCTCGACTTCAAATGCAGATGAAAACACAATTACTTCTCTCTGTACTTACCAGTCTACATTATGCATTTGATAAACACCAGCGTTGGTCCATTAAGGCACCCTAGGTCTATTTAGTGTTTCTTTAGTGCCTAGATGGTATGTACATCTAACAATGCTTATTAAACATAAACGCTTGCCGATCATTCCTCAAACTTCGCTCATGGCTTATAAGGCATCAAAGTTCCCGGTTTACATGGAACAACATCCCTCCAGTTCTTACAAAGCACATTACAGATATAATCAAATGTGACTATTTACATCTCAAATACTGAAGGTGAAACAGATCTAATAGCTTTTGAGTACGGGGCCTTTATTCGTTCACTCTAACAGCTCACCTTCAGAAAACCAAGTGACAAAAGAGTCTGAAAGCTGTAGTGAATATTCGTCATCTGCAAAATGAAAGAAGACACAACAGTTTAAGATGGAGCCATGTTTTGCACTTGTGTTCAAAATTATATTTCTGTGAACAAAAAAACTTAGGGTTTCCACAAACAATGATTGGAGGTTGGGGGGGTGTCAGTGCTGAAATTCCTCCAAACCTTGAATTATATTGTACCTAGAGTCTGAACCTTTCACAAACTTTGCAATCATTTTCTCCACGATCAAGAGAACTAACTGAACTCACTCGCTTCTATCTCTAGATGACATCGGGTTGTGATTTTAGGTCAACATGCTAATCTGGAAAGCCTAATCACAGCCTAATCTTCCTAGTAAACAGGTTTGCATTCGGTGGACATAATGGGATGCCCACAAGAAGTTATTTCCATGTATAGCCAGAATGGTGTAGCATTGCAGGGGTGGCCAAACTTGTTTAACATAACAGCCACACAGAATAAACGTCAGATGTTTGAGAGCCGAAAGACATGAACAAATATGACACACACATTTTTATTGAAAAGTATGCAAATTTGCTTTTTATTAACACTGAATTAGACTGTGTGAAAGAGCCACATGCGGCTCCCGAACTGCAGTTTGGCCACCCCTGATTCAGAGTATCCAACTTAAGAAACCCAGTTATCTTCACTGGATAACTCTCACACATAGCCTAGCCTACCTCATGGGGTCGTTGTTGTGAGGATTGTAAGAGGAGGGCAATGTCATTGACCACTTTGGGTCCCCACTGAAGAGAAAAGCAGGATACAGTGATGGATGCTAAGAAGATGCCTAATGCTAGAACTGACACCATAAGCTGCACCAACTTACCCTTTGGAATAGGAAGATCCATTGTACTCTAAAGAGGGGGGAAAAGACATTTTAATCAGTATATTTTTGGTAAAATGTAACAGGTTATGTCCTGCAGAAAGACACATTTGAAGTCAAAACATAGCCTAATTACAATTCATAATCAGACTGTTAGATTACTATTAATGAGCAGTAGGCTTAGAACAGATTAAACGAAGTACTTCTTCACCCAAAGAGTAACTAACACATGGAATTCACTGCTGCGAGAAATGGTGGCGCCTACATGCATAGACAGCTTCAAAAGCCATGGTTAATCACAGAAGCACCGCATAGACAGCTTCAAAAGGGGACTGGATAAACATATGGAGCAGAGGTCCATCAGTGGCTATTAGCCACAAAGTATAGATGGAACTCTATGTCAGAGACAGTGATGCTCTGTATTCTTGGTGCTTGGAGGGGGGGCACAGTTGGAGGGCTTCTGGAGTTATGGCCCTGCTGGTGGACCTCCTGATGGCACCTTGGTTTGGGCCACTGTGTGACACAGTTTTGGACTGGATGGGCCATTGGCCTGCTCTGACATGGCTTCTCTTGTGTTCTTATGACCACACTGCACAAAATGCCACTTTACGCAGGTGCAGAATGATCCGCTTGCTCGTAAATATCTCCACTGCAGTTTAATAAAAGACAGACACAGAGATGGTAACTGGAATCTCAAAAGCAAAACAGGAAGTACCTCTTAAAAGCCCCTTCCCATTATCCCTCACGTTCGGAGCTACTATCACAACTCTTGCATACAACTGTTGCACTGCCTTGGCCTATTGGGTGTCCAGCATTGTCAATATGCTGATCACCTGCAGAGGCACCAGCCACATGGGATTCTAGTATCTAGAATCACCCTTCTGTTATCACGGGGGGGAAAATTAAGAAGCAGTGGGTGAAATCCAGCTGCACACGAAGCACAAGTATTTTATCACTGACATCCATGGGACAGATGTCACATCATACCAATATAAAATTAATTCAACAGCCATATTCTCAGGCTCCGTAACAATGCATTTCAGTAACTATGATGGAAGGGATACATGTTTCTTGTCCAATTACAAAGGCTAGGGTCCTAGACAGCTAGGTGCCAAGCCACTTCATAATACTTTCAGGTAGGGCCAATCCAAGATCAGACAGAAAGCCTGGGCAAAAAAACGTCTTCATCTGGCACCTAAATCTCGGGGGGGGGGGAGGCATGATCAAGGTGCTTCTACTGAAAAGGCCCCTCTGACTGCCACTCAGCTAACTTCAGAAGATGAGGTCATACAGATGTCGGCAGGTGTTTCAAGTACCTTGGTCACAGGCCATAGAATGTAACAAATAAAGGCAACTTAGCATCCAAAATGTACATGAATGTGTTGGCTACGAACCTGATGTTCTCCACCAGAACGAATATTATTTTAGCCCTAACAACTCCCCTCTGTGTGTGAATTATAACAAAAGCTTTGTTTCTGTGATTAACCATGGCTATTTTTATATGTGAACAAATGTTGATGTCTTGTTGAATTTGGTAATGTTTAGAGAAAATCAATAAAAACCCTAATTCTCTGTGGCACGAGCGTCTGTCAGCAACAGCTCTTTTCTCATTCTTCGTTGTACAGGTCATGAAGAAGAGACCCTTCCATACGTTTCAGCATCTTCTACTCACTTTGAAGTATATAAACTCTCCCTGTCATTTATCTGTTTATTCTCCCCCTCTGTGCTCCTAGATGGTCTTCCTGCTTCCGTATTACCCATGGCCTCCATAAATGTAAAATGCTGTCCATCACAGGACTGTGCACACAAAAAATTGGTATTTTTCAGGTTTGGGTATACCAAACCCGAAAAATATTGGTGTATACCGAGATTCCCGAATCCCAATATCGGTATGATATTGGGAGTCAGAAAATAATCGGTATTGCTGAATTTATTTGGCTCCATACCTTACCTTACCTCCTCCAGTTGCACCGCAGTGACGGCATGCCTCAGCAACTGAAGAGAATGCACTTAAAGAGACCATGGTATCTTTAAATACCTTCCCTTCCCTCCCTGAGCTGTGCCACAGCGGCAACGCACCTCAGCAAGGGAAGGTATGTCTCTTTAGAGCGTGCCACGACTGCAGCGCAACTCAGGGAAGGAAAGATATTTAAAGTTTAAATGCCTTCCCTCCCTTAGTTGCGCTGCGACAACAGCACGCCTCAGTGAGGGAAGGGAAGGCTTCAAATGCCTTCCCTTCACTTGCTGATGCATGCCCCCACCACAGCACAACTTGGGGAGGGAAGGGAAGGCACACATGCAGATTGGCTTTGCAAAAGCCATTAAAAGGAACTTTCCATTTATCGGCTTTTATTTGGGCTCAGCTGGATCAGTAGCCGACACAGATTAGAAAATCTGATTCAGCTGAATAAATACCCGAAAAATAACAATAAGGTATTTTTCAGGTATTATTCAGTTTGGTATATACCAAGAGCATACTGCTAATCCATCATTCCTGGACTCCCTAACCACTGGATATCTTTACTTCTGGGCAACCTGTCAGCTCTACCCTTTAGAGAACCTACCAGTTACAGCTGGCATTCACAAACTGATTTCTATATTTCCTCTTCCCTCCCCTTGTGTGTCTAGTTTATGTTGTAAGCCTGAGAGCAGGGCCTTTATCTTTTATTTTAAGGGAGAATGTTCTAAAACACACAGAGCAAATTTATCATAGAACTCTAAATTAAAAGGTTAGATAATACTTTGAAGAAACCATCAAAAATGAAGGCCAAATGTTCAGTGGACGCACAACATCTGCACCTCTGTTCCATCCACCACAGGGAAAAAGCACCAAATTAACAGGAAGTTCCTACATTTAATTGAATGTGGGTAGATCATGCAGATGAAACAAGATCCAGTGCTCAAATAAATGTGGTTGACTCAGCACATTCCACCTAAGGGTCCTTGTGGACAAATGATCTTCTTTGACTAAAGACTGTACAAACATCCTAATGTATTTTACAGAGTAAGAAGTATTATGGTTTCATACCCTTATTGGCTGTCTTCCTTCCTCTTCTTCAACTTTCGCAGCAAGCTCTTTAAGTCTTGCATTCAGTTTGGAACCTCGGCCTTTCACCTCCGCTAGTTCAGGGCGATGTTTTTTCTGGGAACAAAAATACCACCAAGCCACCATTTTTCATCATCTGTACCAAATTCAGCAAGCAAGTAAGGTAGAACATGATAAAAGTCATGACTTCCCCATGCATCAAATGTGACCAGCTTTTAACTAGTCTCCCCCTTATATATTCACCGTCCAGTACCCAATGAAAGAGGTGCTCCCTGAGTGAAAACAGGAAGCCTCTTTATACTGAGCCAGACCACTGGTCCTAGCCGACAGCAACTCTCCAAGGGTCTCAGACAGAGATTGTTTCCTGGGAACCCTTTCATCGAGACATGGGGATTGAATCTGGGACCCTTCTGCATACAAAAAGGAACGTAGTCTAACACTTGGCTATGGCCCCACCCAGAGCACTTCTGGTTGCTTTAAACAAGGGACTTTTCCTGTGTGAGGCAAAGAAATACAAGGAACATTCACATCATTGTGAATAGGGGCCACATTTACTGTATTTTGAGCCCGCCCTTCCTCTAAGCAGGAGTTCATCACTCTCTCCCTCCTCCATTTAATCCTCACAACTGCCCAGTGAGGTAGGTAAGCCTGAGAGAGAATGACCAGCTCAAAGACACCCAGAAAACTTCCATGGCAGAGTTGGGATTTGCAGCCGGGTCTCTCAGACCACAGTCCAACACTCTAACCCAGAGGTGTCAAACTTGAGGCCCGTGGGCCGGAAGCAGCCCGCCCATGGCTTTCATCTGGCCTGTGGCTCTTCTTCCTCCCTCCTGTCCTCACCCTTTGAAGCTTGAGGCTGCTGAAGAAGTTCCCAGCTCCCTCCCTCTTGTCTTTACCTGCTTTGGCAGGAAGCTCTTCTGGGCTTGCAAAGTTAGAAAGAAAGTACAGAATAGATTTTTCTGTTACGGTCTCTGCACCCAGACAGACTACTCTGGTACTGTTTCTGGGACTGGAATGACAGCCCCCAAAGAGTGCTCGGGGACTGGAATGACAGCCCCCAAAGTAGAATGACAGTCCCTAGCAATAGAATCTTTGTTCTGGGACTGGAATGATAGCACCCAGAGTGGAATGACAGCTCCTGGGAGTAGCAGCAGCATTCTGGGAATGGAATTCCACTCCAGGGGCCCTCATTCCAATCCCAGAATGCTTCTGTTACTCCCAGAGACCTTAATGAGAAATCCATTCCGCATTTTCTTTGCAACTTTGTCTGTGCTGCAATGTATTTCAATGGACTGGCGCTCAAGTACTTTCACTTTCTAGGGTTTGTATAGCTGAAGCTGCTGCTTGCTGGAGCTGTCTCCTTGCAAACACAGGGTTGATGTTTTGAGCCCGCTTGTCTCTGGCTCAATGTTGTCTCTGCTGAATGGACCTGAGAACGGGTGCCTGAGTGAGTACTCTAACCTGGGAAGCCACAGCCGAAGGGGGACATTACACTGGAGAGCCACTGCCACTCTGAGTAGACCTGGGGGGGGAGGGGAGAAGCTTGCAATGTGCCCAGCCAGTTTCTATTCCTAGGCTCAGAAAAAACTGTATTGCCAAATCCCACTATCCCCCCACCTTTCCATTTTAGGCAGGCATGTTTTAAAGGGGGGGTGAGAGATTTGGGAGGGGTCAGTTATCAAAGACTGTTAAATAAACAAAATATCATGAGAGTTTTAAGCATATTTGTATTTTAAATAAAAAATAATATCTTTAAATTGTCTTTGTATCTTTTATAAAGTTTATATCTCCGCTACCTGGCATTACATTTTATGACACACATGGCCTGGCCCCACAAAATCCCACTTATGTCAGATCCGGCCCTTGTAACAAATGAGTTCAGCACCCCTGCTCTAACCATTTCGCTATGCTAGCTCCCTCACAGCTCAGAGGTGAAGGTCTCAGCTTCAGTCCCTGGAATCTACATTTTAAAAGGGCCTTCTGTGATGCCAACATTTAAAAAAAAAGTTAATGAGGACAGGGCATGACACTCCTGTGCAATTTTTCTTGTTGTTGTTGTTGTTCAGTCGCACAGTCGAGTCCGACTCTTCGCCACCCCATGGACCAGATCACGCCAGGCCCTCCTGTCTTCCGCCGTCCTCTGAAGTTTGCTCAACTTCATGTTCGTTGCATCTATGACACTGTCTAACCATCTCATCCTTTGCCGTCCCCGTCTTCTTTGACCTTCAATCTTTCCCAGCATCATGGTCTTCTTCTCCAGTGAGTGCTCCCTTCTCATTGGGTGGCCAAAGTATTTGAGCTTCAGTTTCATTATCTGGCCTTCCAGGGAACAGTCAGGGTTGATTTCTTTTAGGAATGACTGATTTGATCTTCTTGCAGTCCAGGGGACTCTCAAGAGTCTTCTCCAGCACCATAGTTCAAAAGAATCTATTCTTCGGCGCTCGGCCTTCCTCATAGTCCAACTCTCGTAGACATACATGACTTTTTTTTCCTACTATGTGTTATAAGTTGCCCATTTTCCCTTCAAGAAAAGAGGCCTCCAGAACTCAAGAAATGCTACTCCTGATGGACCCGCACACAGACTTTGGATCGTGGCCACTGTAATTATAGGCTTAGCTCTCAAGAAGACCTGCACGTTATTTTACTGTCTCCAAAAACTAGCCAGCTTTTCACAGAATCATAGAGTTGGAAGGGGCCATACAGACCACCTAGTGCCCCTGCCCAAAGGAAACGAACAGTGATCAGATTTTTCCCAGTTTTCTTGTGCTGCAATATAACATCATGTCTACCCTAAACCACTTCAAGCAGATTGTGGCATGAAGTCACACATTAGTGCACATCAACCATAGAGACTTAACATAATACAAGCTAGAACAGTTTGTTTCAAGTACTGTAACTTAATTCAAGTCGATAACGTCTCATAGTGTCAACATATTTATTGATTTGGACTATGTGCTCACTGTTCTATAAAATACGCTCAAAGTAGCTTACAACAGAATCAATAAAACAATCAAAATACATTTCAATTACTGGGGGGGAAATCATCAATAAAACAGCAGAGTAAAATACGAATCCCTACACAATCGTGTTCCTCACAACAGTTCCCCCTTTCTGTCCATCCCTCTGTTTGTTACATTCTGCTTCGGTCCATTCCTGTGCTTCTCCTGCTACTGCCCAGGCATTATGGGATGGACTTCTAGTGTCAGTATTCAACAGACCACTGCTGTTAACTTTTCGCCTCTAAACCTGCCCTTTCCCATCAGGCTTTTTCTTGAGTGCAGCTTGTGCTAAGTTGGGCTTGACTGGCTATTTTTCTATGCTGTTTGTTATTCCATCTGGAGTTTGTGGTTCTACATTATACTTTTTACTATGCTTTTAAAGAATATCCCAAAGCCTCCTCGCCATATTTTTTGTAAGATGCCTTTGTCTAATTGGGAAATGCAAGCTATAAAGGCTGAAGACAAAAAATTTAAAAGTGGCATAAAAATATAGGATTCTAGCCAGCTAACCACCGCTAGAACAAGATTTGTAGAATGTGGTTTCCCTTCCCACAGCCAATTGCATTCCCTGAAATTCTGTTCCTGGGGACAAGTGAACTCTGAAAACAGGAGGGGGGCGGGATGGGAACAGAGAAGCAGCAAAAACAACACCCTGCATTCCTACTGTTGGAGGAACGACAGTTGGATACAGCCCACAGAGAATAACATCAGCAGGAGAATTACAAAAATAGAAAAACAGCTCTGGCGAGAAAATTATTGAAAATGGTTTGGGCAAGCATACACCAAATTTATGAGCATTTATGAGAAACCCTGGGCCAATACAGAGTTTGGATCAGGCAGCTAAACCTGGAAGTTGAAGAAGGGAGCATAACTGAGGTGCCATCACTGAAAAGCCCTGTCTCTGGTTGGCCCTTCAGGTATTCTAACGTTTTAACAAATTCTGACGTTTTAACAAATTGTTTTAAGGGTTTTAATGATTTGTTAATTTGTGTTTTATCTGTGTGAGCCGCCCTGAGCCTGCTTTGGCGGGGTAGGGCGGGATATAAATTGGAATATAAATAAATATATACATTCTGGACTTTCATGTATAATGTAACAAGTAAAGCTACACTAGGTAAACTAATGCTCCAAACATACAATATACCCATGCTTACCAGATATGCCATTCTGTGTTTAATTCCCAAAACATGCATGAACATGTTTGTTAGTCCTCCTTGACATATGCAGAGATTACATTCGTAAATCGGGCCCTCTTTTGACCGATATTCAATTATATATTGGAGACCTGTGTTTTAAGAGGGGGGAAATATTGTGAAAGAATGCCATTTACTGAAATACTATGAATCATCACCCTCACTTCCCACCATTTGTTGCCCTGACTTGGCTGGCCCCCGGGATAGCCCAATCTCAGCCGACTCTGGAAGCTAAGCAGAGTCAGCCCTGGACAGTCCTTGAATGGGAGATCTCCAAGGAAGTGCAAGCTTATTACACAGAGGCAGGCAATGGCAAAACACCTCTGAACATCTTTTGCCTCGAAAACCCTACAGGGTCTCCATAAGTCATCTGTGACTTTACAGCACTTACCACCATCTCCCTGCCAAACCATTTTTAATCTTAGTTTTTCTATGTAGGCAGGATGGCAAATGAAGAACTGAGAGACAGACAGACAGACAGCCTGCCTTTTATAACTTCCTTCCATTTACTGGCACAAGCTGTCTGATACTGAGCCCTCTTTGGCCTACCTGTCAGGGGTTAACTCGATAAGAGGATGGGGAAAGCGGGCTTTCTGATGGAGGCCTAATAGCAGCCATGCAGAGCACCAATTCAGATCAGGGGCACAGAGAGGAACTAGGAAGGTCCAATCAAGGCTGTTTAAAAATCTCACCTAGTTCCTGTCCATCGTCAGGCTGATTGTGGGGATTCACTGGACTGAACGCCTCTCCCAAGCAAAAGAAACTGCTGTGCCCAGAAAGCCACCATGTCCAGCATAAGGGTCCCAGCCTAGTCTTCTCCCTCCTACACTAGCTCTCTGTGTGCAGAAACTGTGTCTGCAAAAGGAGCGTCCTACCACTTGAGACAGTACACTCTAAACACAGTCTCCCCACCACACGGGGAACAAGGCCTTAGACTGGCTCAAGATTTCCTGAACACCATGGCATTCCAAAGTGCTAGCCAGCCACCCTGAGCTACACATTTATTTTTACCACTAGTGCCAAAACAAAAATATCAATTTTAATACCGTAGCCTGTGTTTAGTTCCCAAAGCACCATATGTAGATGCATTCTTAAGTGGCCTTTGCCCACATACAGCGTTACATTAGAGTTACCATATTTTGAAAAGCAAAAAAGAGAACGTATTTCCCAACTGACTACTTCAAACAAGTGATTACTAATGACAATTCTCATTTTAAATACCCCTGGCTACAATAATCTGTGATAACTGCTACTAACTAGGAATGTCCCTACGCTTCCAACCCGAAAAGAGGACATTTTCATGAGTTTTTTGTTTTGTTTTTTAAAGCCCAAAAGAGGATGGACACCAGAGAAAGAGGCCATCAGGTAACCCTAGTTACATCCTTCTAAACCCCCCCGACTTCAGTGAATAGAAGGGCATAATTCTGCTCAGGACTGCACTGTTACTTGAGAGCAAGTCTCTCTTAAAGTGAACACACCTAGGATTGGGCTGTTAACCTGCTCTGTATTAAAAATCTTTAAAAGTTCTCCCTGTTCAACTACAGATCAGAACTCACCAAGGGCAGGTTCAGCATCTCTACATGAATTGAGCTGTTCTTCCAAAGTTTTTCCTAGAGATTCTTCAGACACCACGTGAACTGTAAAGGAAGCATTTTTATGCATTATAAACATTCATTTCATATATATAAACTGTATTTAGTCAAATGCAAGAACAGGGTTTTTTCTCCAGGCATGCCATGTTACATTCCATATACGTTAACAGTTTTGTACAATGGTGATTATTTTGTGCATATAACATTGGGAGGGTGATCAACCCTGCACTCGAGATTGTCTGCCTTTTGAGTAAATATGGTTCATTCCTGTCTCCATCTGGAGATAGCCACTCATTAAATATGCCCACACACTTGTGGTGATCGGGCAGAAAGGCTTTGGCACCACCCGTTCCTCCAGAGTTTCTTGAGAGCTTGCCAAGAGTCTGGTGTTCAACCTCTTCACTCTTCATCTTCTTGATGGAATGCTGCTGTTTGCCAATACATTCCCAAGCACAATTCAAATGCTGGCACTGATCTTTAAAGTACTTGGCCTGGGGTACCTGAAGAAGTGCTTTCACCCTCATATTTCCATTTATTAACACAATCAGACCCTGCCTTTCCCCAAGGACTCAAGACAGCTTACAAAGGCAATATTACATTGCTAAAAGAGAACAAAAACAACCTCAGAATCTAATTACATCAGCAATAAGCAGCTGTCAATGCCCACTCATCTGCTCTACACCCCGCCCCCCACAAAAAAACCCAGCCCTTACATGCCTTCCAAGAAAAAGGAAATGAAGGCACCTCATCAGGCAGACCATACCAGACAGCCCTCTCACTGAAAACACCCTTGCCAGAGCTGAAGAAGAGTGAACTAGCCCAAGAGAGGGCACACCAACAAGGCAATCATCTGAGGAATGCAGTAGAAGTACAGGATTATATTTGGAGATGCAGGCTATTAGGCATGAAGGTTCCGTGCCACGGAGAGGTAAAAACCAGCATCCTGAATTGGGCCTGGAAGCGGAGCCGGCTGGACATAGCCGAAGCTGCAGCCGACACGACGCCGCATCAGGATGGCCTGGCGAAGGAAGCCGCCGACTGGGAGACCTGCTCCAGGGCACCGGAGAATTCGACACTTGAGCCCGCTGGAAGAAGCCAACAAGATTGGCTAACCCTGCTGCTTGGGTGCTGGTAGGAAGCCCCGCCCCCTGTGAACTATGTGGCCCTCGGTAGGTTAATAACTGAATTTGGAACCTCTATGTAAACCGCTCAGAGACCCTTCGGGGTTAGGAGCGGTATATAAATCAAATTAAATAAATAAATAAATAATATATAAATATGAGGATAACAAAGCACAGGAGTTCCACGTCCCAAATGGCCTGCCCCAGACAGAAGGCTGGCTGCTACGTTTTGTATCCACTGAAGCTTCTGCGTCCTCTTTAAGGGCAGCCCTAGGTAGAGCACCTTACAGTATTCCAACCTATATATGCCTTCAAGCACCTTAAAATCTGCAGAGGAGGCCCTGCTGCATATGCCTTCCTTTTCAGAGGCGCAGTTTGCAGCACTGGGATTTTGGGTCTTCTCTGTCACGGTGAGGCAGTTATTGTATTCACTCCCCAGGGAAGCCTGCCTTCCTGGTTCTTGCCCACTTTTTAAAAACGTGCTGAAAACGTACCTTTTTTGGGAAGGGTTACTATATTGGTGGAGTGTCTTTGCTAGGGATGGGCACAAACTTGTCACAAACCTATCCTGGTTCATAGTTTACGAACCTTGGTTCATGCCATCCTGCCCCCATGAACCTCCTATGAACCTCCCAGGTGGCTTTGGGAGTTTCGTGTGGTTCGTGTCAGTAGACATGCCTTCTCCAAGCCATGCTGCCACAGCAGCGTGAATTGGCAACTGAACTCAGAAGGTGGTAGCATGACTTACAAAAGCCGTTTAGAGGGATCCCTTTAAATGATTTTTGAAAGTAGCACCACCACAGTACAATATTTAAATACCTTCTGAGTTCACTTGCTGAGTCATGCAGTGACCTTGTCCTATGGCGCACACAAAGTCTAGGGTTGGCAGAAAGAATTAAATGGCTTTTGCAAGCCTTGCCACCACCATGACTTAACAAGTAAACTCTGAAGGCATTTAAAGGGTTCCCTTTAAACGGCTTTTGCAAGCTGTGCTGCATCACAAACCAGATCATTAAATGGAAAAGTTTGTGGAGGTTCTTCCTGGTTCGTGCCCATCCCTAGTCTTTACCATGATATCTGACGCTATTATGTTTTAATTTATGTGGGATTATATTCTAATGTAATAATTTCTGTAGACTTTTTGTTATAAGCCACCATGAGATACTGAACTGACTAGTGTTGCAGAGTAAGACATACATAGCACACAGTAACAACCTATAGACCAGGGGTGTCAAACATATGGGCCACGGGCCGGATACGGTCCCTGCATGGGTGGTATCCGGCCCAAAAGCAACTGCTTCCTTCTCCCAGCCACTACTGTTGCTGCAAAGGAGGAAGGAAAAAGTGAGCACACATGCGCACCAGAGAAAAGTTCCCTTCACTCTCTCCTGCGTCCTCCTCTGGGGCTACTGCTGTGTTCCCAAGCCTCTATTCCCTCGTTTGGAGAGGGAGTCCCATGGCATCTTCAGGACCAACAAAGTTTTATTCCAGATAAATAACCCAAAAGGACATTACTAACATTATTAACCTTTTTATATTTGACAGGTAAAGAAAAAAGATCGTCCATCCACGGATGAAGCTATGGAATGTATTAATACTAACAAAAGATTAATATACTAAATTACTCATCACTCACCACTATTCTTAATCCCTCTATATACCCTCCCTTTTTTCTGAAAATTTAAAAGCAATAAAATTCTCTCCTTTTGAGGAGTTTATATTATTTTTTTAAAAAAAGATTCACTCTGAAATTTGTTTGGCTTTTTAAAATCAATGTCAGTAGCTTCAGAACAAAGGTCTTGCTTTAGCACCAGCATAAATTTTGCATCAGTGTTTGTCTTTGACATTTTGGGGAGTGGCGCTTTGGGATTCTGCTTGCCTAGGCAGGGGAGCTGAGAGAGCTCTTGACTGAAACTGCTCTTTTTCACGAACAGCTCTTATCAGAACTATGGCTTGCCCAAGGCCATCCAGCCAGGTGCAAGTGGAGGAGTGGGGAATCAAACCCGGTCCTCCCAGACTGGTTTTCCCCCCACCCCTTCCCCCTCACTGGTTTCCTTCCTTCAAATTAACCCCCCCCCCCCCCGCTTTTTAAACTTTTTATTATTATCACTAGCAGTGAGTGGATTTTGTCCAGTCTGAAAGCAACACATTATTTCACTTGGAGATCCCCCTTCCGACTTCTAACAGCGCAGCTTGTAATCTTTATCAGAGGGAGTAGGAGTCCAGCAGCACATTAATAACTAACAAAATTTGTGGCAGGGCACGAGTTTTCATGAGTCACTGCTCACTTCTTCAGATACAGCTAGCATGTGAGTCCATCTGTCCTGATATCCTGGAGATGCCAAATAACAATAGCAGCCATTGGTAATTTGAGAAGACACTGAGGTCTCAATTCAGCCCAGAAGAATTAATTGAGCTTCATTGTCAGTTGCCATTCATACGTCTCTCTTTCTCGTCTCCCTTTGAAATTCCTTTGTAAGAGAACTGCTACTCTTAGGTCAGCAACTGAGTGTCCTGGAAGGTTAAAATGTCCCCCCACTGGTTTTTGAATGTTGTGGTTTCTTATAGCTGTAGAAAGAGTAAGTGTCCAGTAGCACCTTGAAGACTAACAAAGTTTCTGGCAGTGTATGAGCTTTCGTGAGTCATTGCTCACTTCTTCAGACCTATGTCCATTTATTCTTGAATCCTCCTGGACCAAACTGACACCTAGGTTTCCTGTCTCATTACCAATGATGATATCTCCATGCCTACTATCCCTATGTATATCACACCTAATCCAATCAAGCGTATTGCCATTTGGCATCTGAAATCATTTTTATAAAGTTTATATTTCCAGTAGCTCATGTTACGTTTTATGGTGCACATGGTCTGGCCCAGCAAAGTGACATTATGTCAGATCTGGCCCTCATAACATATGAGTTCGACACCTCTGCTATAGACCAAATGCCCATATACAGGAGAGCCATCAAAGAGTGACAGGATTTTGAAGAAGCATATACCACTACAGCTCCTCCTTTATTTTTCTCCTTTAAAATCAGAAACAGTAAAATTCTTGTATTTTTGCAAATCATCAGATTATTTTTTCCATGCTGTTGTGAAATATACACCACAATCCTAACGAGGTTTGCCAGAAATCATTTTCAATTTGATGTGTGCTTTAGCAGACAAAATACTGGATCGGGGAGAAACCAGGTTTTAAATCCTTGAGGCTTACTCAATAGTCTTGGACAGCTGCTACTTCTCAGCCTTACCTACCTTACAGGACTATTGTGATGATAAACTGAGATGACCACATAAAAAGCTTCACAACTCCTTCTAGAAAAAGGGCCATTGGTACTTACCGTGGAGGGTCCTTCTCCTCTGAGATAAGGAGGACATCTTGATGGGTGTTTCCCACGCCATCCTTAGGGAGGCAGGAACCAAAACTTCACTTCCTGTCCTGGGACAAGCCCCTCAATTCAGTTTGGTAACTCCCAGCAGCAGTAATGCATCGAACAACATCTTAATAACTGAGCCAACTTCGGCTGAACTGCAAAAAACTGAAACTATTAATAGACAAGGAGTGAGACAGGGACAGGAAGGACCAAACAGATAAAGAAGATATAGAACTGGCAGAAAAAGATGACGATGACACGGGAGGGCCAAGATGTCCTCCTTATCTCAGAGGAGAAGGACCCTTCACGGTAAGTGCCAATGGCCCTTTCTCCCTCTGAGAGGACATCTTGATGGGACCTCCTATAACAGTGTCCTCAGCATTGGGGGGGGGTCATCATCTGCATCTGTCAAAACATGTTGAAGGTCTCTGTGTCCAAAGGCCGTATCAGCAGAGTCTAAGAGATTGCTCTTATAGTGTCTTATGAATGTGTATACAGAGGACCACGTGGCAGCCTTGCAAATTTCTCCTACTGTGGCCCGGATGGACAAAGCCGCATTTGTTGCAACACTTTGGATCGAAAGAACCGTTATGTCTGGTGGAGGAACCAGCTTCTGTGCCCTATAGATCCATGGAATCGTGAGTTTGCTTTAGGCTGAAAGATAGGGTCTAAAGACAGCACTACCTTGTCCTATGGAGCACACAAAGTCTAGGGTTGGCAGAAAGAGCTCCCTGCTCTGGCACCCTACGAACTGAAGTTACAGCCACTAAGAATAATGTTTTCGTCTGTAGCCACTTCAAGGACACCTCCCTGAAGGTTTAAAGGGATCCTTGGTCAAGGCATCGAGGATCACTTTTAGACTCCACGTCGGGAACCTGTGAGATGTTGGTGGGTTCCGAAGGGCCGCTCCCTCAAGAAAGCGACAGATATGAGGATGTCTATAGCGTGGAATCGAGAGTTTGCTTTAGGCTGAAAGGTAGGATCTAAAGACAGCACTACCTTGTCCTATTGAGCATACAAACTCTAGGGTTGGCAGAAAGAGCTCCCTGCTCTGGCACCCTATGAACTGAAGTTACAGCCACTAAGAACAATGTTTTCATCTGTAGCCACTTCAGGGACACCTCCCTGAAGATTTAAAGGGATCCTTGGTCAAGGCATCGAGGATCACTTTTAGACTCCACGTCGGGAACCTGTGAGATGTTGGTGGGTTCCGAAGGGCCGCTCCCTCAAGAAAGCGACAGATATGAGGATGTCTATAGAGACCCCAACTCTTGAACGTAGGCAAAGCCGTAGAAAGGACCGCTACTTGTCCTCTGAGCATAGAAGCCTTCGGACCCGAGTCATGACCATCTAGTAGGAAGGCTAGAACATTCCTGATGTGAGGGTCAATGTTCTTCCTTCCAGCCCATCTCACAAAGGCCTTCCAGGTGATCTTGTATATGCGACAGGTGGACTGTCTACTGGAAACTAGCATGGTGCCAGTCACCTTATTTGAGTACCCTAATTTGAGAAGCTTCTCCTGCTCGACTGCCCCAGCCGTCAAGTGAAGCTAACCTGGATCTGGGTGCCAGAATTGGACCCTGTGTCAGCATGTCCAGCATCTCTGGTAAATGGAAGGGTGGTTGTAGTGCGAAATGCTGGAGCTCTGAGAACCACAGTCTCCGTGGCCAGTACAGGGCCACTGCTATTACTTCTACCCTCTGTTCTCGTATCTTCCTCAAAGGTCTTGGTAAAACA